TTATATTATCTGTAATGGTACATCTTCACTTCCAGCTTCCACTCATATACAGCATATCCAACCCATCACGCAGCTTTATTCAGAACAAAATGTCATAATTTCAGAAGTTGCACTATTAAGTTGTCAGTGACTTTTATTGGCGTCAGTCAGTATTGTGTTATTAATAAAAACATTAGTCACAGAGGAGGAAGTTGACTAATCAGAGCTGAGATCCAACTGAAAAACTGACATATTATACTTGTTTTTTGTTTTTTTCGGGTGGAAGCTTGTGCAGTGATTACTGGGATATAAGCATCATTTATGTTTTTGTGTATCAGTCCCACCCAGAGGTCCATGCAATGACTCACATGGGAACGACAAGGAAATAAGAGTGCTCAGAAAGCTATCAAGATTCATGTTAGTAAATGTATCCATACAGAAAAGCAACATGTGCATGATGGACAAACCTTTCGAAGGGGGAAGAAAATTAAACCGGTAATGTTCATCAAACAAACACAAATCCAAACTACTGTATAAGAAGAAATCTGTCATATGCTATACTTCCCTGTAAAATTAGTGAAGTATCCTTGTGTCTCTTGGGTGTAAAACATGTGGAAAGGAGGCCCAAAGGTTGGGCATTGCAGAAAAAGGTTGTGGTTGTGGAAAGACAACACAAATCCACATTTTGTGACCAACTAACCGCTGACACTACAGTGATCAATCACTCATAGTTTCATACTTCAGGTATCTATGTGAGCTCTCTCAGAAGGTAAAATGAGAAAATTTGGGGACAATAAGGGGAAACTTTGAACAAATTATGTGAATTTTCCTCACTGACTTCTGAAACCTTCACATTTTTAGATTCAGGGTAGAGCTTGCTGCTCTTTCTGCTGATGTCAAGTGGAAAACAGCTTCTATCTCAACCCTACACCTACAGGTCACCACAGTATTAACACACAAACAGGTGTTATTTCCAATACACGCCGCAAAAGATTAGAGGGTTTATTTCAACTCCTTATCTGATCATTTATTAATAATACATCAGCAAATTACAGCTAACCATGCATACAACAATATATTAATTTAACGTACAATATTAAACATAAATGTTACCATTTCATACATTAATGTGTTCATGTATTGTACCAGATAGCGTGGGTAAAAAATTATATGATAACCTTTCAGCATATTCAAGTTGTCTGAGAAAAAAACAGAGTCAAGATCTGTTATCAGACTTTAGAAAATCTAACAAATGACAGAAGATGTTGGCCAATCACACGTCATTTCAGGGAAAGGGTGTTCCTATTGGCTGTTCTACAAATGCAGATTCACATGCAACAACCCTTCAGATGGTGATTCAGTGGCGGCAAATGCTTCAGAATGGGGACAGTGGTGCTTGTGTGCGTGTGAGAGAGGGTATTTGTGGTGTACTGTAGCTGCGTCTGAAGCCTGTGGTGCTCTTCCTTGCATCACTGCCCTGTGGAGTGATACGAGGCAGCAGAGAAAGAGGTTTTGCGTAGGTTTGCACAGGTTTTGCCTGCTGCAACTGTAATGCTAATTTTCATCTGCAGTCCCTTTGAAGGACAAACAAGTTTACACGCAGCAGTATATGACACACCATGTCAGCAGCGAGTATAGAGAATAATTATACTAATAATAATAAGGAGAAACACTATTGATTCTCAGTGAAACAGGTTGCTTAAAGGTCCAGTGTGTAGGATTTAGTGGCATCTAGAGGTGTAGTTGCAGATTGCCACTCCGTCATTTCACTGTCCCTTTCCAAGTGTAAAAAAAACCACACAAACAGCCCTATCTACAGCCAGTGTTCGGTTTGT